ATATGAGGCTTGAGTCTTTACATGTTTTACATCACCATAATAAACGGTATCTGGGTGAGAGTACCAATCACCTTTATATTCATTTGTTACAGGGTCATATCTTGGTTTACAAGTAGTTGTGTCATTCATATATTCATAGTACTCAGCTTCATAAACTTGTTTAGATGGTTCACTAATTCGGAAACTACTAATAATAGTAGAACTTATAGTTGGTGAAAGAATTTTTGCAAGATCCATTCCCAAATCAACATACCCTCCTCCATTTTTTACTAAAATTACACTGATTGGGAACTCATTCTCATCAAACAAATGAATACATTTTGCAAGTGTTTTTGTAGAGTTTTCACGATCTTCATCACTAAAAGAAAATGATTTCAAAACAAAAATGTTCATCTTTTGTTCATGATCTACTTTACATGAGTACATCCCATCTTCTGATTGAAGATCATAAGGTGTTCTTTCTTCTCTTTTAATATGTCTTTCTTCAATATCTTCAAGTGTAAGAGGACTATAATCATTTCCATTTAATTTTCTATTAACAATTGATTGTGCTTTTTTAGTTAATGAATAGAAAGGAATGTACAACATTTGATATGATACATCACATTTTTCTCCATTACTCCACTCAATAGATAATACAGTACTTAATTCTTCTTGTGATAATGCCATTGAATTTAATGAACTAAACGTAATACTATTGAGGGCTCTAACAAAGTTACCATGTGGAGATTTCATTCTTCCATGTTCCTCGCCAAAGGCTCTAATATATTCGAGAACACTCTTTCCATTAATTTTACTTACAGGAATATCTTGATTATTCTTAACAACATCAGGAATAGTAACATTATAACTAGTAGATTTTAATACAAATTTGACACTCTTATCATTTAAAATAACAATGTCAAATGGAAGAATGAAATAAAATGAATCAACTAAGAAATTATTACCGTCATAATCTGATTGTGCAGTTAATGAAAAGTGAAGGTCATGTGCATTATATACTACTGATGTTAAACTTCTAAAGAAATTATATCCTTCTGTTGAATTAACATCAATAGAAGCTAATTCTTGATCAAGGTCAAGTGATTTATGATATTGACTATCAAAAGATGGTTGTGGTGGGTTTTTAAGAATGTCCTTATAGACATAACCTTCTAATTCTTTCTTTATTTCTTCTACAACTTTTGTATTAAATAATGGATTTGTTTTCGCTGAGTTAATACATTCAAATGCATCCTCAACAGAATAAACCATATTCTTTTTCATTTGAGAGCATTTTAAAGCATATGAAAGAATGAAACAAAGGAATATAAGAAGCATTATAAGTAAATTTGAGAGTTCTATTGAAAAAGAATATTCTTTTCAGCAGGGTTTAACATTAAAAACACTTTGGTATTATTCATTTATTATGAAATAATCTTTTTCTTATAAATAATATTAATTTATTATTATACATTTCTTTATATCTCTTATTATAATATTTTTTTCTATTAATTAATATATTATTTTTTAACTAATAAAGAATATACTTTATAAATAAGAAAAGGAAAGGTTGTAAAATCTAATCCATAAGCATTTAAATATTAACAACCTTATTAGCACGTAGACCGCTTATATAACAGACACTTTACGTAAGTAGTTATACCATAAGCTAGGTGTTTTTTTTTTGGTTCATTGCAAGGAATTTTTTATAAATACAAATAATTCATGTAAAAAATAATAATAATCAAAAATAAAATTTATAATAAGAATATGACAAGAATGAAAATAATGGCTATTAATTTTCATAAATTAATATAAAAAAAGAGTTAACTCATTAATTTGCAATGTCATTACAACCTTGATAAAGAAGATTTTATCAAGTCAAAAAATTAACAAACATGTACTTAAATGGTTTAAATAATTAGAAAAGTTTTAGAAACAAAGAGATTAAAATTAACAACCAAAGTTTTAAACATTTTATGTTTATAAACAGGAGTTATTTTTAATAATTGAATGTCATACCTTTTATTAATTTATTAATGTTAAAATAATTGAAACAGAGCAATGAACTTAAAATTTTAATAAATAAGTTTATTTAACTATGAGCACAAAATTAAATAAAAGTAAATGAATTAAACACAATAAATCAATTTTTTCATTCGAATAAAATTTATTTATTAAATAACAAAAAATTTTAGAAAAATAAACAAAAGATAAATGTTATTTAGACCTGTTGATAATTTCTGGTTGAAGTTGTGAATGAATTGAACAATAAGTGTTAGAGAATTTCTCTAAACAACGTTGGTGAATATATTTGTTACAATTAGAACATTTAAATGCTTCTTCAGTATTTTTAATTGTGCTACTACAAACAGAGCATTTAGAGTCGCAATTTATTGAAAGAAAACAATGACCTAAAGGTGTTTTTTCAATATATTCGTTCTCAAGATAAGAAAAAGAAGATATTAATCGTTGGTCTGTAGGAATATTTTCTATAGGATAAGTCATATCTATTATTGCAATATCTCCATTGTCATCTTTTTCCATCCAAATATTCCACAATAATTTTCCATTATAATTTCTTTGAACTATATAAGCAGTTTTTGAAGTAATTAAGTACTTTGTTGAAAAAGAAGTAACTAATGTATTATTTTCATTATTAAAAACTAATATTTGACTTGAAATAAATGAAATAATTATATATTTTGGAATTTTCATAATTGATGTAACACTTCCATAAGTTAAAGGATATTCATATTTTTGTAATAATATTCCAGTATCTAAATCTAATACACAAACCATTCCATTATAATCACCAGTCCATAAAGTTTGATTTTCTTCACAAATAGTAAGACAAACAATTGAATTATAATGGAATGTAGAAAATGTTTTTAATAATTTTCCTGTTAAATAAGAAATAACATAAATTTCATTTTTACCTTGAAATGAAGCATAAATATTACCATGAGATAATGCGATTAATGTGATAGGTGTTATTAAAGAATTATTATCTATTTTTATTGTTATTTCATTAATTTTATCTAATTTAAGAGGGTCATAAACTTCTATAATACCATTTTGTTCTCCAATAAATAATGTTTCATTTGAAATAGTAATAAAACTACATCTTTTAGTTTCTAAACTTTTGACAATTTGTTTAGTTTCAATATCTATCATATGAATAACAGAAGTTGTTCCAAGATAAATATAATTTTTATATGTTCCTATATGTTTAATATCAGGAAGTGATATGTTAATTTTACTAATATTTGATTGTAATGTATTTGTATTAATTTGTATAACATTTCCAATTTTATCTATTGACCACATTTCATTAATTTGTGGTATAAATAATAAAGAACCAACACCTTCCATAGTTATTTGTTTTTTAATAATACCAGTCAATGAACCAATTTGAATTGGACTATCAATTTTTTTTGAAAGAAACAAGTCATAATTTTTAATTAAACATTCAAATGAATCATTTTCTACAGATGCAAAATCAACATTATCTTTTTGTGGTAAAAAACATTGACATATAGCTGTAGACAAATTAGATTCACTCATTCTATTTAATCTTTGATTAATAGCAATAACATTCATCAAAAATAAATATCTCCCAAGAGTATTTCTATGTTCAATATTTAAAGAATCAATAAATAATATAATTTGTTTTCTCATTTCTTCACGGTCTTTCTTTCTAGATATTTCAATAAATAATTTATATGATTCTCCATTAATAAATCTTGGATTCATTTCCATTAATATACTTTTTAATAATCCACAAATTGTTCCTGTAGGATATTCTTTTAATTTTATTTTACTTCTAAAATCATTGTCATTTAATTTTTTCATTAATTCTTCTAATTGGTATTGGTCTGGTGGTTTTCTAAATAACCCATCTTCAGTTAATCCTTTATTAATAATTTCATTAATACATTTATTTAATACATCTGGAACAATATCAATACATGAATTTAATTGTTGTAATTGAAATAATTCTTCAACTGAAGATCCTATATATTTATTTTTCTTTATAACTAACTTTCTGTTTGTTAATTTAGTTGCAATACAATTACTAAATTCAAAATTACATAAAGTAGTTGTATCAAGTAATGAAAGTGTTTCTTTTAATAAAGAACTCCATTCAATAACTTCACTGTCATGTTGAATAGCAAAATAAAATTCTTTACGATAATTTGAATCTTTTGTTATAATATGAAGATCTGCTGCAAATGCATTATCTTGTGGTAGAAGAATTTCTATGTCAGCATTTACTAATCTTTTAGAATTAATAAAGTCACAAGGAATTAAAATATTTCCTGTGTAAGCAAATAACACAAACAATCCAATAATTGTATAAAATAAATAACATTTTTGATACCTACAAATACTATCATTTGTTTGTAATTTTAGAAAGGCTATTCCAGCATGAAGAATAGAATCTTCAGTTAATTGTTCAAATAAAGGATTCCAAATTTCTACTGAAGGATTGTATTGACAAGCAGCTTTAAATATATTAAGAATATCATGGTGAATTAAAAATGATTCTAAATAATCAATACTACGTAATAGTTGTGAGCTAAATATTATTGAAGTTTTTAAATTAGATTTAGCCCATAATAAATCACTTAAACTTATAGAACCATTTGTAATACTTTGAGATGAATTAGTTCCTTTAAATTGAATCAAAATTTCTTGTACTTCAACTTTTCTTTGAATATCTTGACGGTCAGATTCAAATAAAGGGATATAAACATTTATGATTGATATAATTTTAATAAACACATCTTCTAATGAATTATTTTCATTCTCTTCATATATTTTTTTGCAAATCAATGAATTTTTATTCATTTTTTTAATTAATGATTCAATACTTAATACTTCTTGAATAAATTTTACTAATTTGTCTACTCCATTTGTATTTAAATAAACAACAATAGGGCAAAATAAATTATTTATATTATTTTGTATTAATTGATAACAACAATTAATAATTTCATGTAATCCTGTGATATTATCTAAAACATTTTTAAATTCTGTTTGGTTATAATAAGAATCAACGCTCAACCCTTGAACTGAAATTTTATTAATACTCCTAAGTGTTTCTTCACTCGCTGTCTTTAATGTGTTTTCATCTTTTTGAAGTGTTGCATAAAGAGCAATAATTTGGTTAGCTAATTTAATAAATAATTCCATTTCAGATAATAATTTTTCTGTTGTTTGTTGAATGTATTTCCTTACAATAGGTACTGTTGTTTCAATTTGAGGTACAGAAACGATTCCTTTTTCGTTAAGTATTTGTAATAGTGATTGCCTTGGAGAATATTCTGATGATGATAATGTGTTAATTTGAGAGGTGTCTAGTGTTAATCTACGTGTAGGAAAAGATGATGACTCTTTAATTGAAGAAGAATTCCGTGATGATCCATGAGAATGATGACTACTAGACCGGAGCGGAGGAGAACAACTTTCTGCGTGTTCCATTTAGTTATTTTGAGTTAGTTTTTAGTAGTGAAACCTGAAAATTTCAAAAAAAGTTTTATAATCTAAAAATAAAAATAGTTTTAATAATAATTCTTTTATTAATAAGAAATAGTATGAAAAAAAAGAAAATGTTTATCGCTTTTTACAATCTTTTGATAAGGAAGATAAACAACTGCCATGAATAGTTATTTGACAATCTAAAACGTTAGTAATAGAATTCTTGAGATTAAAAAAAAACAAACAGCGACAAATGAGATCTCGAGGAGTTAATGGCTTATGACATATCAAACAATTTGCTTGAACATGAAAAGTGTTAGGTATTAATGAATGGTTCAGTGTTGACATACTTTCTGGGATATCAACAAAGAAAGGTGTTAATTTAATTGACGTACATGGAGATGGTGAATTTAAATGATATTGAAGAATAGAATTAGTTGTTCCAACAAGTAGTGTTTGATCTTCATAAACCAGTAATGATGTTGCCATTGAAAGAGGAGTAAAAATAGATAATATCTGGTAATTAAATTTATCAATAACAAGAATAGTATTATTTGATGTTAGGGCATAAACATGTTGTATTCCAACAACAATATCTTTAATTGTTCCTTCAAAAGAAACAATAATTTCAAGTTCATTTCCATTAGTTTCGTTAAGAACAGAAATACTACCATCATTAAATCCAATAAAAATAAGTTCGTCTTTAGCAACAATAAATGTTATTTCTTTATTCATATATTCGACAATCTTTTCTTTTAACAAAGATCCTTTTGTATCATAGAAACAAATTTGTTTGTTATTAATAATAACAATAAACCCAGACTTTGTTTTTGTTGTTTTAACAGTATCTACTCCACATATATTTACAGTGGAGATAATATTAAGTGAAGCAATATCAATAAATTCTATTTTTGTTTTAAATACAATTAATAAAACTCCTTTAAAACCGGTGATAGTAATACTGTCTTTTACTTCTATTGTTTTTATCTCCATTTCATTAATTCTTGTTAAATTATTTTTATTTAATATTAAAACATAATCACCACTACAACACGAAGTAAAATAGTCATGAGGTAAAGTAATAGTACTTAATTTATCTCCACTTTTCATAAACATACTTCTTTGAAGTAAAATAATAACTTTTTGTGTATGAAGAAGATATAACTTTCTAATTGGTTCTTTCATAAGACTTATTTTAATTAATGTCATTGGAGTATTATTTAGTGAATAATAAGAGATAAGATCACCAATACAATCAAAAATAAATTTTATTCTTTGAGAATCAAAACATTTCTTTTTAAAAGATGAATCACAAACTATTTGTAAGATTTTCATTCCATCTTCATCAGTAAAATTTTCATCATTTCCATTATTAATAAAACATGTTATTAAAAACAAAAAAGATAATAATACACTTCTTGATACTTCATCTTTAGACTCAAAAAAATCATTAAGACCTGTTAATTCAAATTCATTTTGAGTAAAGTCTATTCTATTAAAGAGTTCAATATCATTTTTATTTAATAATTTAGGTTTAATATTTTTAAAATAATTAATAAAAAATTCAGTAATTTCATCTATTGGTACTGTAGCTAAATCAATATTAGGATTATTTTGAACTATTTTTTTTAATGTCCCTTTTGTTTTTAATTTGAAATAATTCTTTACTGAATTACATCCCCTAAAAATTAATTCTTTTGTTACTCCAAATATTGTTGTTGGTAAACAATCACTTAATTGTATATTAACTGGTATTTCATTATTATTTGTATTTGTTTTAACACATCTTAACATATCGTCATGCCATAATAGTGTTGTTAATAAGTTATTAGAACAAACACAATACGATTTATTTGTGGCTTTATTTTGAAACGATAATATACACCATCCACTTACCCATAACTCTCCATCTTCTCCTGTTATATTTCCAATAATCAAATTATCAATAGATATCCATATTGATTCAATAATACAATCATGTAATGGTATTATATACATTTGTAATCCTGTAGGATAAAGAATTAATACTGCTTTGTTCATTAACTTTTCATTAAATTTATCTATTTGTTTTAATAATAAATTTCCATGTCGTATAATAATTCCTTTACTTTCATTTAAACCTGTATGAATTGTTCCTAAACTATTAGATACACAATATAATTCTTTAGAATATTTTCTCATTTCTTGTAATTGAATATCACCTTTAGCAATAGTATTAAATACCCATTGATCAAGCATTAAACTATTTTCTAACTTACTTCTTTTATGAGACGTTCTTAAATCAACTCTTTCACAAGTTAAAATACTTCCCATAACAGTCATAAATTGTTCAATGTCTTTATCCAATAATTCTATCAATAATGAAAATTCTTTTAATATAATGCTTGCGTGTTTAATTGATTCTGGAAGTACTCTTGCTGGAAGGTCAGAAAAAGATTCTACACATAAAGCAGAAAGAACAATAGGGTATGTATGAAAACATAACTTTCCATCAATAAGAAAAGAACAGATTAAAGGTAACGGAGTAGGTTTTGAAAGTGCTACTAATACCATTGACATTTGTTTTAATAATATTTCACGTAAATTTAAAGGAAGTACTTCTGCGTATTTTGAAATGAATTGAGGAGAATTTGTAACTGAATCTAGTACTTGAAATAGTTGTTTTGATTCTGTTACAATTGTATTAAATGAAGTTGATATAATTTCATTTAATCCAATTGAAATAAATTTATTACTAATACTTCCACTCTCTTTACTAACGCTTTGTGTAGGTGAGTAAAGTGAAGTAGCAGAACGAGAACTCCAAGAGTAACGAGAACGAGTTTGCTAAAAAGTGAGTTGAATATTGATTTTTTTTTAGATGAAACTAAATCAAACTGAAGTTTTTTTTCTTAATGAAAGTCTATTAAGAGAAGGTGAAATAGTAAGAATAATAGGATTATTTCGTTTGAACATAATGGAATTATTAGTAAAAGAAAGATCATTTTATTCATTTAATGTAAAATTTCAAATGAATAAAAACTAAAAAAATTATAAAAATCTGAAAAGTATTTCCTGTTCATAACTTATGAATTCAAAACAACTTCCTCTTCTTTGTTATTATAAAATTATTCAATACGCACCCGACTCCATACGCTTTGTTTCTAAAAGAATTTTTTATTGTTTTATTTATCAATCACCAAAATGTGATTTAGAAATCTTAAATTATTCTCAACAACAACAACTCCCTCTTGAATTAAGAAAACTTGTTGTTGATGGTATTTTTATTAGTAAAATCGCTAAGCAATTAGAAAAATGTCAATGGCTTCAATGCTTAAAAATAGTACGATGTGATGCAAGCAATGAAATTATACCTTCAGTTAATATACATCAAGTAACTTATTTAACAGTAGAAGGTCTAAACATTAAAAGAATAAAATGTTTGATAGAATCAATAAATAAAGGTATTCTTATATTAGATAAATTAGATAATGAAATTTTAGTTAATCCTAAAGTTAAAATATATCTTTCTCAAAGAAAAACATTAGGAAAAAGATGTTCACTAACTGTTGACAGAATCTATCACAATGAAGACTTGGTTCTTTCTTCCAACAATTGGAATTTAAAGAAAGCAAATAATATCGATCAACTTATTCATAACTACCTCCCTTTTAATATGCAATTAAAATACTCAAAAGAATGTCTTAAAATAAAAGATTATGATTTGTTATTTAATTTAATAATAAGAGATAGTTGGCAATTCTTATTTTCTCATTCTCCAATTGATTTAAAACAACTTCATATCATTCAATATAAAATAATAAATGATTCTATACTTAAATTAAATAATACAACTCATTTAACATTGGATGTTCTTCAAGAAAATTCTGAACGTTTTATTGTGAAACACCCAAAACTTTTAATTGATGACACTTCATTAGTTCACTTATCTTTAATTCATCCAGAAATACCTCCTATCCAAACATTCACTAATTTAATTTCTCTTAACCTTGAAGATTGCGTTGGTTCTCTTCAATGTCCTAAAAGCATTCGTTCTATAAAACTGTCTCACTCTTCTTTTGATCTTGTTGTATTCTCTATTTATTTAAAACACTTAGAAATGAACAATGTTTTTGCTTCTACAATGAACTTTGAACAAAGACTTGGAAATCCACAACTTGAATCTATTCTTTCTATTGACACTGATTGTTCTTCTTTATTCCAGTTTCCTAAACGACTAATTTGTTTGACAAAAATGGTTATGACAAATTCTTCTTTTAATTCATATCTTCCTCCTTCATTAAAATATATTGAATCAGATAATATTATTAAATTTGATCTTGTTAAAGACTTATCTCAACTAACATGCATATTAAACAATGGAAATAATGTTTTTATTCCTCACATTAGTTCTTTTATTGGAAATGGAGAATTTACTGAGACATTATCAATAAGTTCTGAATTTATTCAACTTCAAGGAGAATTTGAAAATATTATTCTTGAACCTTCAGTTCAATCTGTTAAAATAAAGAAAAGTATCATTGGTTCTCTTAGATTCAATACTACATTAAAGACTCTCTCAATGAACAAGGTTTTTGATAAAGAAGACAACTATTTTGATTTATCAACAACTAACTTTTATTCGTTAACTCAATTGTGTTCGTTACAATTAATTAAAATCAAATTTGATGAAAGTAAATTACCTAAAACTAACTATTTGTAATTTAATTCTTTAATATCTCATATTAATTAAAACTCATTTGTTTTAAGTAGTAGTTTAGGTCTTATAATTTTAGCACTATCATTTGTGTTATATTTGTTTATAAAATAGGGTTAAAAGAGGTGTCAAATAAAAACTTCTCAAAAACAGAGTTATTTAAATAAAAATAAACCAATGAACAATCCTTTGAAATATTCAAACAATCCTTAAGATTTATTTAAATAACTCTTATTGGTAGAATTATAGAGAACATCAAATTTATGACTCTCTTAATACATAAAATAAAAAGGTTATGTTACTGTTTTAAATGGAAATCTTTGAATGACTACCAGGGTAATACAACAAGAAACAAAACAAGTACTAATATTATATTTTGTCTATTTCTTGAAAGTTAATTTTAAAATTAAATTATACTAAATAAACATATAAGATAGTAACATTATAATAAAATAATTCTCATATACAAAATAATATAACTCATCATTATTAAACATATTTAACATTAATCATATCAATATTAATAATAAATGTTAATAATATGAGAAATAAATTATGTTAGAAAGTAAAATAACCATATTAGAATCAAAACTACATTAAATCATTTGAAAGAAACATGTTGATTATATATAATTTACTTTTGAAGTTCTTTGTTCTTGACTTTGATTCATAAAATGTACATTATAAAATCAATGATTATGGTTTGTAATTATTTTATCAAATAAAGTAAGGTATTAAAAAGAAATAAGTAATAGTTATTTGAATCAAAGAATAAAAGAAAAACATTTATATGACTCTCAAATATTGAATAGATAAAGACATATATAACACAAATATTTATTTTTTGTTATTTTTAAAGGAAATAGAAATGTTTTACACAATAAATGAACTTGAAATGGAACTTTGATAAAAACACTTAACAAAATAAAATGGATTTAGAATCATTTGAAGTTGTACCTAATGTAAATCAATTTGTGTTAGAAACGTTATCAGATAAAGAGCTTGGACTTATTAAGAAAGTCAATGAATTAATTCATGGAACACCAACAGATATTAATAGAGGATATCAATTTTTACATGACGGAATAGCCCGTCCAACATTTGTACAATTATTACTTAAAGTAAATCCAGCAATGTACCTCTACCCACTCCAAACTAAACCTATTGGTGATTGTACTTCTGTCATCAATTTAGTATTAAGCTTTATCTACCAAATGCTTCAAACTGTACCCATTGAATACAGTGATTTGTTAATGAATCCAAAAGCTAATTTAGCAATGTCATTTAGAATGTTGTTAAGTGATCATACACTAATTGGAACACACCAACTTGCATTAGAAGTATTAAATCAATTACCTGTTAATGACTCATTGATAGAACTTATTGAGCCATTATGTCAACTAACTACAACACAACACATCTCTCTTAGTGTACAATTATTAAAAAGGATTCTAACAACAAAAGAAACTTCAAATTGTTTTATTCAATTTAAATGTATGAAATACATTAACTTAGCATTATTTACCTCTAACTCTAACGAGAAAATGACACTTATTGAAATACTTGTTTCCTTGTTTAAAGGTTGTGATGATTCTTCTAGAATTGCAATTGCCAAAGAAGTTATTGATAGTGACATACTAAAACATGGATATTCCATTTTCACATGTGGGTCATTAGAAATGAAGACAGAATTCATTAAATTCATTATTCATGTATCATATGCTGAAGAATCACAAGAAGATATAATTAAAAGTGGAATTCTTCCTTTAGTGATATCATTGTTAAGTGAACAAGATACAAAAACAATCATTTCAATTATGTTATTGATACAATCAATGACTGAAAATCATAATCATATTGAGGAGTTCATAGGAGTAGGAATAGTGTCATATATCAGAAAAATTCTTCAGAGATATCCAGAATCATTAGAACAAAAAGTAGTTATTATAATAATGGATGTATTATTAAATATTAGTACAAATGAAAGGATATTAGATGAACTCATACTATTTAAAGTAGATGAAATTATTGAAGATGTTTTGAAGAACCAAGTTGTTGATCGTGTGAGAGAACCTAGTATTACAATTATAACAAGAATTAAAGCATATCATAATCGGATTAGTTTAATTAATGATCCAAATTCTCAAGAACAATATGAAGCACATGAATTTTTAGGACGAGTAATTAATATTTATAAATACAAATTACAACACATTGATGAAACAAGTCAAGAAGGTAAATTAATTAATAATCGAATTGTTATTTTAAAAACTAAACAAAATTTCTTTGTTCAACAATACAATAAAGAATTTGATATTAGTAGTTTACAAATTGACAATGTTGAAACATTAAATTTGGATATATATTTAAATGTATCAGAATCATTAGAACATTGTAATGAAATATTACCTAAACCAAAGATGGAGATTATTCAAATTAGTGGAATTGAAATGCAAGATTTAGAAGAATTCTACTTTCATCAATTAAACACTATTATTAAGAAAAATACAGAAATACATATCTTTAAATCAGAACAAAAATATCTTAATATTATTGATCAATTTGTTAGTGGATTAATTGATCCATTAAGTGAAATATGCAGTACAACAGAAAAACAAACATATTTTAATGTTATTGAGAAAATTCAAACAATAATTGCTCAAATTCAAGATAATATTCCTGTTGGTTCAAAATTTGATATCTTTTTAGAAAAATACTTGGATGGATTATCAAATAATGCTCTATATAAAACATATGCAATCTTTATTAATGCACAAGATAGAAATACATTTGAATATCCATTAAAAATAGCTGAATTAGTTGATGCATATGAAAAAGAAGGAATGAAAGTATTTGATGTTATGGCTATTATATATCAACACATCACAATGCTTCATGATTATTTTGATATACTTATATTTACTCATAAATATTCACCATATATTCAACTTATAGAAAAATGCAAAGAAAAAATGAAAATAGGACAAGAAGCAATGAAAACTATCACTGAAAAAATTAATCTAAATTACCTTTCAATTTCATTAAAGAAAATAAATAATCAATATAATGATGATATTAAAAAATTTGAGAAAGTATTGTTGAGGTATCATGGATTATATTGGGTTACAATGATTTTAGTTGATAATAATCTTATATTCCTTACAAAAATGGATAAAGGTTATAAAATAAATCAAGTATTTGATATGAATAAAATGGAATTAATTGGAGTAATGCAAAGTGAAAGAAATAATAAAGCAATATTTACAGTTGATGGAGAATCAACAGATATAATTTTTTTCTTATCTCAACAATTATTTGATTGGAAAAAAGTTTTTAGAGAAATTATTAAAGGAACTATATATTAAATATATAACAAAAATAAGAAATTTTTTGGTATTTAATTTTTTTGTTAATCAAATAGTTTAAATTAGTAGAATAAAAACTATTTTATTAAAAAGAAAGAACTTAAAAAAAAAAAAAAAAAAAAGAAATTAATATAAGATTATATGGAAGAAAAAAGTAAACGTGGAGATATTGATGATTATTCTGTTATGGAAAATGATCTTTATATTGAAAAAGTAATTTTATTTCAACAAAAAGAATGTTGTTCTGCAACACATATTAATGTACCAAAATGTAAAAAATTTCTTACACGAATTGTTGCTGCAATGAATAAAGGAGATATATTTAATGATGAAGAATCTACAGAAATTTTCTTTGCATTAACTAAATTATTTATGTCAAAAGATTTAACAATGAGAAGATTATTATATGTTGTTCTTAATGATATGATTCCTATGACATCAAATTCATTTATAATTGTTAATAGTGTATCAAAAGATCTTAGTGATAAAATAGATTCATTTAGATGTAGTTCATTACGTTGTTTAAGTAGATTAATGACTCCACAAATAACTCCAAGTATTGAAAGATTTTTTAAACAAACATTAGTTGATAGTAATTTATCAGTACAAATAGCTTCATTAATTTGTTGTCTTAAATTACCTATTGATATTGTTCAAAAATATTTACCAGAAATAAATTCATGTGTAGATAGTCCTAATGCATTAGTACAATATCATGCTACTAGGTTATTTTTCTATATTAAACAAAATGATCAACATTCATTATTAAGATTTATTACTACTAAAGCTACATCAATTACATCTTGTTTTGCCCAAATGGAATTAATAAGAATAGCATTAAAATTATATCAACAAAATATAACAAAAGATGAAAGTATGATAAATTTTATTGTTAATATTACATCAGGTGCAACTGATATGATTATTGTTGAATCACTTCGTGCATTAATTAAAGTAAATCATACTAAAGGACTTATTAAACTTATACCAAAACTTCAAAAATTATTACAATCATCTTCAACATGTACAAAATTTGCAGGTATTAGAATTGTTAATGAATTAGCTGTAAAATCACCAGAAGTAATTATTAATTTGAGAAGTGATATTGAATCATTAATAAAAGAAAAAAATCGTGCTATTGTTACTTTAGCTACTTCAGCTGCTTTAAGAATTGCTACAGAAAAGAATATAGAAAAATTATTAAAGAAAATTGGTAAATTTATTCAAGGACTTCCAGATACATTTAGAATACAAGTATTAGATACTATTGAACAAACAGCTACAAAATATACAAATAAACATTCATTTTTATTAAATTTCCTTGGAGGATTATTAAATATTAAAGGAATTAAATTTGTTAATGCAGTTATATCTGTAATGTATAATATTTATTGTATATCAAATGAATTAAAAGAACAAATGTTACTAATTTTAGGAGATTTTATTGAAGATTGTCAATATGAACAAATTATTCAACGAGTTATTAATATTATAGGAGAAATTGGTCCAGAATGTGATAATCGTATTAAATTAATGAAAACTATTTATAATAGAATTATATTAGAAGGTCCTAGTGTACGTGCTACAGCTGTTTCAGCATTATATAAATTTATTAAAAATGAAGAAGATGTGAATAATGTAATAGATTTAATGAAAAAATGTATTACTGATGAAAATGATGAAGTAAAAAGTCGTGCATTATTTTATCTTAATATTATAAATTCAGAAATTACTATAACATTAGAGAAATGTATTATTGATGAATTTCCATTTGATAATATTGAAATAGCATTAAATCAATATCTTGAAAATGGAAATTTTGAAACAGAATTTTCATTTAATTCAATTAGTAAAGTTACTCAAGAACAAATTCAAAATCAAGAAGAAGAACAAAAGAATCAACAAATTGAAAATGAAAATCAAAAGAAAATGGAAGAAATTTTTGGTAATTTAGGTAAACCAATTAAAAGTTATCCTGAAATATTAATTAGTGGAATTGATACTGAATATCAAGTTTCTGTAACAAAAATATTATATGAAAAATATATTGGTTTAAAATATATGATCAAAAATACACTTAATGAATATCAATTAGAAAATGTTGAAATTAATATTATTGGACAACTTAAACATTATAAAATGGTTAAAAATATTAAAATTAATATTCTTCCACCACAATGTGAAGATATGGCTGTTATTATACTTGAAAAAGATAAAAATGAACCAGAAAATATTCCATTACAAATGAATTATACAATGAGAGAAATTAATACTATTACTGGAGAATTAACTGAAAGTATACAAGAAGATGAATATCCATTAGATTCAATTCAAATTAAAATGTCTGATTTTATTCAAGAATATTATGTTAAAAATTGGAATGAAGAATGGAATAAAATTCCAATCCAAAATGAAAAGAAAACAGTTATTAAATTCCAAAATGTTTCTACAATTAAAGAAGCTATTGAAAAATTAAAATTCCATTTTGAATTAGGAGTTATTGATAAAAGTGATATTGTTTCTGATGATGCTAGGAAACATATTTTATATTTGGCTGGAATAGTAAAAGGTGAAATAGTCATGATTCGGGTAAGATTGATGATTGATAAAACTAATCAAATTCCTATTGAAGTATGTATTCGTTCTCCATCATTGGAATTATCACAAAGTCTTTATGAAACTTTATAATGATAAAAAGATCAATTTAATTGACTTTGGTTTAAAAGATTTTTAATAATATTTTTAGATTCCATTAAATTAAAATACTCAAAATTAATAAAGAGAAATGATTTTTTTTTTTTATTTATAATTTTTATTATCTAAAATAAATTAAAAGAATCTTTAAAAAGAAATAAATCCTTTATTAAAATGAATAAAATTACTACTCAAATTATGGAAAATTTAGCTGTTAAAGCTGATAATAAATTTTGTTTTGATTGTGGTAAAGGAGTTTGTTATTACTATTTTATATACATATTCTCTTTTATTAAATAATATTCATATTTATCTCTTTTAGGGTGCAACTTTTGTTGTTTCAAATTTCAATATTTTCGTTTGTCCAACTTGTTCAGGAATTCATATGGAATTTGGTCATAGAGTCAAATCTGTCTCATTAGCTATTTTTTCAATGGCTGAAGTTGATGCTATTAAAAAATCTGGTAATAGTGAAGCAAAGAAAAAATGGCTTATTAATCGAAATCCTTCTTTACCACTCCCTAAACCAAATGATATTGAAAATATCAGAATCTTTATTAAAGCTTGTTTCATCGAAAAACAATGGACAACAGAAAATATACAAAACACACATCAACAAACAACTCCTACCTCTCCACATTTTCAACCCCCTTCTCCAAAACAAAGTAAATCACCTCTCTCTCCACCTAAATCAACTATTAAAACTAGATTAAGTATTAATTCACATCAAACAAATTTTTTTAATTTATTGGATTCTAATGTACAACCACATTCTACAGTATCAGAAACTGTCCCTACTTTTGACTTTGTTCAAACTTCTTCTACTTCTTCTACTCAACCAATTTCACAATCCCCTTCTATTCAACCACAACCTATTATAAAGAATAAATATGATATTTTAGCACAAATTCAACTAGAACAACAACAACAACCATCTTCAATAACTACTAACTCTGTTTTTGATTTTGTTGATTCAAAACAAGTTTCTCCTCAGTCTTGTATTCAACTCACTAATCCTCCTCCTCCTCCTCAAAAACCATCTCAACAATTCCAAACAACATTTGATTTCAATCAATCTTCTTCTCAACCAGTTGTGTCTCAATCAACAAACAAACATGAACAAGTATTTGACTTTGGTCAAACAACATTTGATTTTACTACAAACAATCATCCAAAGGTTACTCCAACAAATACATCGCCATTCACTTTTGACAAAAACTCATCTTTCAATGAAGCATCAACCCAATCACAACAACTACCAATTAAGGTTATCCCTCCAAAAGTCAGTCCTCAACATAACTCTATTAATAATGACTCTTCTAAAGAAATCACCCAGAACCCTTTAAGCAAACCTCAAACACCAGAAACATTTGACTTTAACTCAAGTATTCCTAAACCACAACCTGCTTCTGTCATTAGATCAAGAACAAACACATTTAATTTTGACCAACCAAAACAACCTTCTACAAATAGTCAAACATTTGACTTTGGAGAGAATTCTTTAGAAGAAACGAAAGGCATACAAGAAACAACCCCAAAAACTAATGTTTTAACAAACGAACAACCAAATGAAACAAATCAAGCACAAAAAGAAGATAATAAAAAACAAGAAAAAGAATCTAGTGTAGAAGTTAAGAAACCATTAAATTACAACAACTTGTATGACATTCTTGGTGGGATTAATGAAGAACCAAAACAAGAGGCTAAAACAGAAATGGGTGGAGTTAGTCATCAAGAAGAAACACCAGAAAACAAACAAAACAAAAACATTAAAAGACAAAGTTCTGAATTAATGGAAATTGATAGCACATTTAATTTTGATAATAAAAAGGAAGAAGAGTATGTCGATAATCCATTTGGTGAAGTTAGTGATGATGAATTAAAAGAAGTCGATATTCCTACGATGAAGTTTGAATCAAACAATAAACCAGCAACAAATAATCTATTCTCATTTGATTTAGATGAACCAAAAAAAGAAAATCAAAACCTTTTTAATTTCGAAGAGTCTGCAGAAGGACCAACCAAAGAAGTTGATGACTCATTTGTTACAAATGAAAATGAACCATCTGTAGATAATCCATTTGAGTCGAACAATACACAACCAAATAAAGTGCCAAATCTCCCAGAAGTTGATAATCCTTTTAAATGTATTGAAGAAAAACAAAACAGTCAAAGCCCAGTTGTAGTAGATAATCCTTTTGATTTTACTGATTCATCTAACCAACTTAACCAACAAGACCAAATAGTGGATAACCCTTTTAACTTCTCAGGCAGTGAAAATGCAAAAGAAGAAAAAGAAGTCGACAACCCATTTGGGAACTTCGAAGAGTCTAAAAGCGAAACATTACCAGAAATTGATAATCCTTTTGAATCTTCATCAAACGCAAATACTTTGTTCCAATTCTAATTTTTCAATTTTTAAGTGTTAAAGTTTGAATAAACTAATTATTTATAATAAAATATTTTATATTTATAATATTATTTATTTATAATAAATTTATAATAAAATAAAACTATAATGAGAATTAGGTTTAATAAGGGAAACTGATGAATCTGAAATAGTCAAGATGTCCAAAGTCTCAAGCGCTGTTTTACGTCAAGGTGTTGCTACTATTCTTAAAGAAAAGAAAGACAGAAAATTTGTTGAAACTGTAGAACTTCAAATTGCCCTTAAGAATTACGATCCAGATAAAGATAAACGTTTCGCTGGTTCAGTCAAATTACCAAATATCACTAAAGCTAACTTTAAGGTCTGTGTTCTTGGAGATGCCCAAGCCTGTGAAGCTGCTCAAAAAGAAAATATCCCATTCATGGATGTTGATGCTCTTAAGGCATTAAATAAAGACAAAAAGTTAGTCAAGAAATTAGCCAGAAAATACAATGCATTCCTTGCATCAGATTCTGTTTTGAGACAATTACAAAAGATTCTTGGTCCAGGACTTAACAAGGCTGGTAAATTCCCAACCCTTCTTGGAAAGAATGAAGATCTTAAAGTTAAAATTAATGAACTTCAATGCCAAGTTAAATTCCAATTAAAGAAAGTCTTGTGCATGGGTGTTGCTGTTGGAAATGTTAAATTAACTGAAGACCAATTAGTTGCTAACATTGAAAGATCAATCTCATTCTTAGTTTCACTTCTTAAGAAAGGATGGCAAAACATTAAATGTCTTTACATTAAGAGTTCTATGGGTGCACCAATTAAGATCTATTAAGCAATACTGACAAAGGAACGCACCAATACAATTGTATTGGAAGCTTTAATTTTGGATTCTTTATTAAAAGTATTTATTTTATATTATTTTTGTTATTATAAAATAATATTTTTATTTTATATAATTTTTTCTTTATGTAAAAAGATATTTTTTATTTGTTTTATTAATCTCTTTCCTTTTTTGTTTCTATTTTTTGTTTTATCGTTCTAATATAAAACTCTGTGATAGAATAGAAGAAATTGAAGTAATTACTTCTCGATATGAAGAAAATCTGATTGTGGATATATCTATTAATTAATCTTCTTTTCATTACAACATAAATGGAGTTGTTCGTGTATTATCTAAAAAATTAAATGCAAATAATTGAGGGTGTTAATAAATATAATGATTAAATAATTGTACGTTGTTTTTAAATTATTTTATAGAAATCCTCAAAAATGGAATGAACTTCATGAAATAGATTTTTTATTTAAATTATTTGTTTAGTTATTCAAATAAATTAACCGTTATGAGTCAAATTTATAAAGTTATTATAATATATTAATTAAAACAGTTTTTTGATTTGAAGAAAAGGAAAATATTATAATCCCGTTATAAACTTAAAATTGAAATACGAAGAAAGAAAAATAAAGTTTAAGATAAGGCTTCCATCTTTATACGATTCTATAGATTAATTTTATAGACGCTATGATTAAGTTTTTAAAGTACTATTGAAAGTTATTGTATTGCCTTCATCTGTTATGTAGTTACTAAGTGTTATTATCACCTAGCTAATAAGAGTATTTAATTAGAATTAGTGTAAGAATTAAAATTTTAAAATATATCAATGCATCAAGAAAAAAGTTATTAATTAATCAAAGACAAAATATATTTATTTAAGAAATTACTAACACACTAAATTTTATTAACATAATAAAATATTGTTTATTGTGCTTGGTCAATTTCTTATTTGAATAACTTTATGGGAAAATAAAATTAAAAACTCATTTATAATTTTTTCATTTTGCTTCATATTATAACTTCATCGCTTAAACAAGTGGTTCTATCAAATAGAACCCTTTTTATGGTTGGCATTAAATTAAAATAGTACAGATTCTATATAAAAAGGTATTTCTATTTATTAAAATTATTTCATTTTTTGTACTACTTACTATTAGAGATAAAAAAAAATATAAAAAATTTAGTTTTTTTAACTATTTAAATTAACTTGTATTATTCTATATTGTCAAATTATGAAAGTAGTTTGATATATTGTTGTTGCATGAAAAAGTGAATAAGGCTTGTAATAAGAGAAGTGTCAAATCCTTTATTTCCTAATTATCGTTAATAGACAATTCACTATTACACTGGTTTAACTAGATCGTATATTTTATATAATTTCAGTAACTATTCCAATGGTCTTTTCCGCGTCGCTGGGTTTGTTCTGTTACTCAATCACTCTCTTTTCAATTGCTTTTAAAAAGATTGGATGATAAAAAATGAGGAATTATACTAAAAATAAAAATGAGAAAAAGAAGAAAAACAAAATACTAAAAACCTTATTTGAAGTTATGACAGATAAGAAGCCACTCCTCAATATCCCTAGTCAACGTGGGATGATAAGAATTCCACCCCCATCACAAAGAGGTACAAGTCAAAAAATTCACCGTTCCTCAGTAGAAAGTAAGGTTATATCTTCTCAGACAAACCCAACTTTTAAAACTCCAACAAAGGGTGACGATTTCAATATAGATGCTACTTTGGCACTATTTGATAATGACAAACAACAAACTAAGATTCCTACTCCGATAACTATTAATCAAAGAAAGTCTACGGAGAAGAACCCTATTTTGACACACACACCTTCAAGCCATAAGATCATTTCTATTCCAAAGGCTTCTCAAGTTCAGCTAAACCAAAGACATAATACTCAAACTTTACAAAAACAACTTTCTCATACAACCATCGTTATACCACCTAAATCACCTCCAGTTATGACACCAATAAAAGCAATACCAAATAAGGGTTTGAATCACACAACTCAGTTTTCTTCACAAAAAACAATTGTTATTAAGCCACAATCGTCTCAAAAAATTAATCAACCACAACAACAAGCTGAATGTAAACAGAAATGTGTAGAAGAAGAAAATTTTTCATTATCTCATCAAACTACTCCAACATTAGTTCCATCTGTTTCAGCAAGTTCATCTGTTATAATTCATCAAAGAAGTTCAAGTTCAACGTTACCAACCAAATCAAATTTACATGAACGAGGAGGGAGAGTTGGAATGACAAATGTTATATTCACTGGAGAAGGAGATAATGAAATTCATTTAAATTTCTCTTCTAATAGATTTATGGATGTTAAAGAACAATTTAAAGAAAATCATATTAATTTTGAACTTCTTGGAAAAGAAAAGAAAGAAATGAAAATTTCATTTAAAGACTATCAAAACGCATTGGATATTTGTCGTAAAAGACCATTACTAACATGTGAACCAATTACAAAGTGTGTAAGAGATCTTCTTGTTTTAGATGGAAAAGAAGATCAAGGAGATCTTAATAGATATGAAAGTATTCCAATTAAATTGAGAAATACAATGTTTGAATATCAGAGAATTGGAGTACAATTCGGGTTAAGAAAGAAAGGAAGACTTTTGATTGGAGATGAAATGGGACTAGGAAAAACCCTGCAAGCATTGGCACTTGTTTCAGCATATCCAGAAAATGAACACATACTAATTATTACTCCTAATAGTCTTGTGTATCAATGGTGTGATCAAATCCAACGATGGCTTGATGTTGATCCAAATGATATTGCTATATATAAACCGAAAGACATAGAAGTACCGAATACTAGATTTGTAGTTATCTCATATAACTCTATGGCAAATACTCAAGGAAATATGTTTTCTCACTCATTTCCAATGGTAATTTGTGACGAATGTCATTTTATTAAAACAGATTCAAGTAAACGAAGTAAAGAAACATTAGATGTTTGTAAGAAAGCAAAACAAGTTATCTTCTTATCAGGAACACCTGCATTATCTCGGCCAATGGAATTATATAATATTTTAAGTGTATTAATAAAAGATATTGGAACAAAAGAATCATTTGGTAAACGGTATTGTGAAGAAACAGGAACTAGGTATAAAAATTATCTTTCTATGAAAAATGAGAAAGAATTAAAATATTTGCTAACTACAGTTATGATTAGAAGACTAAAAAATGATGTTTTAAAGGAACTTCCACCAAAAATAAGAGAAAAAGTGTACCTTGGAGAATTAGATAAAAATGAGTATAGAGAATGTCTTGAAAAGATGAAAAAAGATTTAGATAATGCTCGAGGACTAAAACAAAAAAGACAACAAGTATTTGAATTACATAGATCAACAGGGTTAGCAAAGATACCACTGATACAAGCATATCTTGATGATGTATTAGATTCTGGAATAAAAAAAGTTGTAGTATTTGCACATCACAGAGATGTTCTTGACGGAATTGTATATAACTTACAAAGAAAAAAAGTACAATTTATTAGAATTGATGGAGAAACAAAGTCAGAAAACAAGAAAGAATTTGTTGATATTTTTAGAGATGATGACAATTGTCGTGTTGCTGTACTGAGTATATTAGCAGCAAATTGTGGATTAGAATTTCAAAAAGCTGCATTATGTATATTTGCAGAGATGACATTTGTTCCTGGTGAAATGTTACAAGCTGAAGATAGATTACACAGAATTGGACAACAAGCTGATTCTGTTAAGATAGAATATTTAATCGCTAATAAGAGTTATGATGAACAGATATGGAATACTATTGAAAAGAAATTAGATGTTGTTGGTAAAGTGTTAGATGGAAAATCAAGAGAACTTGATCATTGTATAAAAGATGCAGATATTGGAGAAGAAGAAATGGGAGAATTTGTTAAAGGGATGATGGAAGTTATTAAAAGTTATGATGAAAGAAAGAAACTAAGAGAAGAAGAAGAGGATAGAATAGAAAAAAGGAAGTTAGGGAAAGAAGAGTTAGTTCAAAATAAGGAATTACAAAATGAAATCGATTTGTTGGATGATATCGGTGATGATAAGACTTGTAGTAAATCATTAAGTAAATTCAGTAAATTTCAATTTGAAAAGAAATAAAAAAAAACAATTATTGTAACTAAATAATTTAGAATTTAATTACTTATAGTTTTTTATTGAAAAGGAGGAATAATCTTAAAAGAAATAAAAATGGGTTCTTATGGAGGAATGCCTAATATCAAAAATTTTGAAGCTATAGTGTATTGTAGTGATCTCGACGAAAAAGTTGACGAACAGTTGTTATATGAATTAATGATTCAAGCAGGTCCTGTTGTTAATGTTTCTATTCCAAGAGATCGAATTTCAAACCAACATAAAGGAATTGGTTATGTTGAATTTCAACATGACTATGACGCAGATTATGCTGTAAAAGTATTTGGAGATAATATTAAGTTATATGGTAAACAAGTAAAATTTAGTAGAAACGTTCAACTAAAGAAATCTGTAGACATTGGTGCAAATTTGTTTGTCAGTGGTATTGATGATAGTGTAAGTGAAACCACATTGAGTGATGCATTTAGAAACTTTGGTAATATTATTTCTTCAGTTAAAATTGAAAAAAATGAAAAAACAGGAAAAAATTTTGCATTTATAAGTTATGATAATTTTGATGCTTCTGACAAAGCTATTGCAAATATGAATGGGCAAATGATGGGCGGTAAACAAATCAGTGTTGAGTATGCGTTTAAAAATAAAAAAGGAGAAAGGTATGGAGATGCTTCTGAAAGATTATTAGCTCGTGGAAAGTAGTTGTTTTAGTTGATTGATTTGTTTGTGATATCATTTATTATTTAATTTACTCATGAGGTGTTTTATTTTAAAATGTTTCTTTGTGGCTTTACTTGTTTAGGTTTGATTATTATTTATTGTAGTAAGAAATTAAATTCTTTACTTTAACATTTTTACAGATTAATAAAATGATAAAAGATTTAAATATTAAATATAAGTTTTGAATTTTATAGTTAAAAATTTTATTTTGTATCCCAAAAATTTGTTAAATTTTGTTGTTATAATAAGAAGATAACAGTTAGTAGTTTAAAGGTAAAAGTTATTTAAAATTAAAGAGGTTAATGTTCAGCAAATCAGTAACTAACAAAAAAAAGAGTCTTGAAATTACCAGTTTGGAAATTAGTTTTATTATAGTTAGATATAAGTACAATGTTAAGGATATGAGTTATAATATTTAATGAAGTTATAATAGTCTTATAAAGAGGAGATTGGTTTCTATAAGTTTTTATTGATAAAAACAATACATATTTTATTAAGACATAATATGAGATGATAGGTAAAGGTGTGAGAGTTCATAATATCATTAATTTAAAGTGATTTAATGAGTTAGATAAAAATGATAATAAAAAAAAGAAAACAAAAGAGAAAGTGAAAAGAAAAGTGAAAGAGAATAATAAGATTTAAAAAGGAGAGAACTTGAGACATGGTAGAGAAATGGATGAAGAAAATAAGACACTAGAAAGTGAAGGAATAAGGGAAGAATCTAAAGAGGGAGAAGAAGAAAAAATAATGATAAAGATTAAGAGTATTAACAAACAAATAATGAAAATGAAAGAACGGATGGAAATATTAAATAGAAGAGAAAAAGAGTTAAAAGAAGAATTAGGGAATGTTACTAGTGAAATTGATGCAGTGAAAGAAGAAAAACGAGAGATTGGAATGATAGAAGAGAACAAAAAGAAACAAATGAAAGAAATAGTTAAAATGAACTCCAATAAAACACCGTTATTTTCAATAAAATCATGGACAAATTGTGAAAAGTTTGAAATGATTTATGACAGTGATACAATGGGATTAACCAACGTACATTTCAATCAACTGTATATGGAAGAAAGAATATATTAGGAATGGTTATTACAAAAAATAATGATATTTTTGGATCATTTCATACTGTTCCAATTAAAATAATAAGTAGTGATATGAATTGGACTAATGACAATGATTTTTTTGTATATTCAATAATGAAAGATGGATATCAAAATTATGGATGTTATCAAAAGAAAGAAGGTGTTTATTGTAAATTAAGATCAATTCGTATGGTGTTTGATGATGAAACATTTTATCGTGTTAATAATGCATTCTATTTAAGACCATATTTATATGAGAAAAAAGGAAAAACATGGGATGATTTCAATAAAGACTATGATGATATTGATAAAAATATGTCTTTTACAACAACACTTGGCTTTACACCAATTCGTGTTCTTGTTTATCAATGTTTTTAACACACTAATTGACTCTTATTATTTAATTAAATTTATATCATCTTTTCAAAGTATTTCATTTTTTAATAAAACACATAACAAAATAGATTAATACAATACAATGTATTTAATTTCACATATACTACCCAACTATATAAATAAACAATGAATAACTTGAAACCATTTTAGAAAAAATTAAATTATATAATATTGTAAAATATTCAATACAAAAGAAATATAATAGTAGAAATATGATATTAATCACAAATTTAATATTGTAATAACTTATATCTTATCTAGAATTTAACAAGACTCATTTCTTACCAAGAGCACAAGATAATTGTTATTAAAACTTAATGGACAAGAATGACTTATTTAATAATATTAAATTATAATGGCAACGAAAAAAAGCAAATAAGAGAAAAATGAAGAGAAAGAATGATATAAAAGAAAAAAAGTGAAATTATGAAGTAGAAGAAGATGAAAAGAATAAAAGTAGAATGTTGAGATTATAAAAAGAAAGAAGATAAAAAGAATAATTTAAAAAGAAATAATAAAAGATGAAAAGAATAAGGAAATAATGGGTGTATTTTATTATAAAAATTAGAAATATGAAATAAAAAAAGCGTTTAATTTATTGATGCAAAATATTTAACATTATTTTATTGATATAAATCATTTTATTCTTTTTTATTTTTATAATTTTTATTTATATATATTATTTATTCTTTTTCTTTTTAGTATATTGATTATTTTAATTTATTATTTATTATTCTTTTATTTGTTCATTTTTATTATATTTATGAAATATTTCATTATTATAAAATAATTTTATTATTTAATTATTTAAATGATTTATATTAAAATGAATTTATTTTATATTTTATTGTTTTCTTTTATCTTTATTTTATATTTTAATAATTTCTTTAATATTATCATTTTATATTATTATTATCTTTATTCTTTCATATTTTTATTATTTATCATTATTATTGTATTTTCATTTCTTATTTTATTTTATTTTAATTTATTATTATTATTATTTATGTTTATTTATATTTCTTATTATTCTTATTTATTCTTATTATTTATTTATTTCTTATTTTTCTATTTTATTTATTTTCATTTGATTCTTATTTTCATTTCTTGTTTTGATTATTTTGATTTAATTTTAATTTTTATTATTATTATATTTTTGATTATTAATATTTATTTATCATTTATTTATTATTTGTTTTTATTATTATCATTTGATTTGATTTATATTTATTATTTATTTATTTTATTATCTTTCTTTTCTTTATTCTTTATTATTTATATTATATTCTTATTTCTTATTATTTATTTTTGATTTTAAATGATTGTTTCAATATTCATCATTTTATTTATATCTATTATATTAATATTATATCATTAAATTCTATCATTAAATATTGAATAATCAATGTGATATAACAAAATAATTTAATTAATATATCATTATAAAATGAAATAATTAATAAATGATTTCATAATAAATATTAAATTCATAAAATATTGAATAATATAATATAAAATGATAAATAAAAATAAAAATGATAATAATA